CTGCGCGCTCCCAATGCTTGCGGACCTTGGCCGAGCTGGGGCGGGGCCTGGACAGTAGTGCCCGAAAGGGGCGAGGCGTAAGGTCGGGATGGGAGGGGCAGGCCCGGGGGGAGGGCGGGGCTTAAGGGGTGAAGTGCCATTGGCTGGACAGAGAGGTGGGGCTCGGGGGTGTAACCTGAGCCGAAGGGCCGGCCCTAGGATCTTAGGGCGCCGGTGAGGGACGGGCGACCGGACCAAGTGGGACAGAAAGGGCGGGGCCCAGTGAAGCCGGAAAAATGCGGAGTGGCCCCGGGGTGGGGGGCAGGGTGGGAGGGAGCCAAGGGGGACGGACACGAAGGGTCTCGCCCCTTGCACATCTGCAGCCTGAGGTCCGGTCCATGGCCCAAGAGTGGGCCGGAAAGTGGCCTTTCCAGAAGGGCTGCGCCCTGGCTGAGTGCCTCCGTTTGTTAGAGCATCCTGCCGGGCACCAAAATGGTTCGGGTTCGATTTCAGGTCAGGGCCCAAGGATCAATGTTTCTCTCTCTCTCTCTCCCTTCTTTTCTAAAATCAATAAACATATCCTCGGGTGAAGATAAAAAAGTAAAAACAATTTTTAAGAAAAAGGACTGCAAAAAAAGGGATGAAGAAAACTGTCAGGACCCAACTTTGAGGAGGTGGAAAGGAGGATCGATGCTGTCAGGCACAGGTTGGTGTGGCTTCACTGGTAAAGGAAGTAGTAGCCTAAAGGAGTATCATGCCTACCCCCCTTCTTCCCCCCATAGATGTGGCTCTGGGATTGAGCTTCGAGCTATGAACCAGGTGGTCACGGTTTGATCCCTGGTCAAGGCACATGCCCGGTTGCAGGCTGGATCCCCCGTAGGGGATGTGCAGGAGGCAAGCAATCAATGATTCTCTATCATTGATGTTTCTATCTGCCTTCCTCTCTGGAATCAATCCTATCCTATATAATAAAAGGCTAATTAATATGCAAGTTGTCCCCTCCACCAGGAGTTCGACTAACCAGAGGTGGGCCTGGCCCACCAACTCCCCGTGACCCCTCCCCCATGCACGACGGGGCCTCTAGTAAAAATTTATTTAAAAATAAAAATAAGGAGTCATTTTAGAAAGACCCTGTAGTAAAGTTGGCCTCTGGAGGAAGGGCCCTGCCTACACAATGGGGGAGTAGGAGAAGGAACGCTGGGCACATCAGACCAGATCTGCATAGAATAAAGCCACTGGGGACAATGCTCTAAGTACTGACTTCATAGCTGTTATCTGGAACAAGTAGACTATGGGAGGGGACCCAGCAGATAAGTTGTTCTCAGTAGGAGAGAGGAGCAAGCTGTCCAAAGGACAACCAGCCAAGCACACAGGACCTGGCACAGGGTGTCAGGGCTGGAAAAGAGGGTGAAGGACCAGTGTGAGTCAGTTAAGCATTGGCTGTTGCAACAAAAAGTCCCTGGTTTGATTCCCAGTCAGGGCACATGCCTGATTTCGGGTTCGATCTCTGGTTGGGGTGCATGCCAGAGGTGATCAATCAATGTTTCTCTCTCACATCAATGTTTATCTCCCTCTCGCTCTCTCTCTAAAAAAAATAAAAATAAAAATAAAAAATTTTTTAAAAATAAAAAGAGGCCCTAGCCCAGCCATGGGCAAACTACGGCCCACAGGCCGGATCCGGCCCGTTTGAAATGAATAAAACTATTGAAAAAAAAGACCGTACCCTTTTATGTAATGATGTTTACTTTGAATTTATATTAGTTCACACAAACACTCCATCCATGCTTTTGTTCCGGCCCTCCGGTCCAGTTTAAGAACCGATTGTGGCCGAGTCAAAAAGTTTGCCCACCCCTGCCCTAGCTGGTTTGGCTCAGTGGATAGGGCGTCAGCTTCTGGACTGAAGGACCCACCCACTTCCTCAGGGTGGATATAGCTAAGGTTCAACCCAAGACTAGGCCAGACCTGCCTGCTCCTGCCCTTCAGGGTGTGGCCCCGAGGAGGTGCTAGACACAGCAGAGGCACTCCACTGCTGGCAGAAATTGGTCCCTGGCCAATGCTGACCTCTCCACTTGTACCATCCTCAGGGAGCATTCCAGGAACAGCTGATGGCACTCAAAGCAGGATCAAGGTCCAGCTTCTGTCCCAGCCCCAGATCTGCCCTAGGAGCCCAGACCCCCAAGAAGGAACACACAGCCAAGAGCAGAAATCCCTGCCAGTTGTCCCCACCAAAGCCACTATCAGAGAAGCAGGCTGGCGAAGTTTTGGAAGAGGAAAGTTAAGTCCAGGGAGGTGAAGAGTCCAGCTAAACCATTCAGGAGAGGGCAGAGTCCTGGCTTCCTAAAATCAGAGACCCTGGGCCTGGAGTCTTGGACCCACCTGATTCACCTTCACCCTGCTGCATGGCCCGCAGGTCACCTGTGTAGACAAAGGCAAGGACTTCCAAGACTGAAGGGGAAAAAATCAGGGACGTTTCTCCCCAGCTCCTTGCCTGTGGGTCACTGTGGCCTCTACCAAAGATCACTGCCTCTCTCAAGGTCACCCTCTCTATGCTATCCTTCCCAGGCTCCAATGATCATCCCTCCCTTTCTCCAGGAATGTGTGACTACTGTTGGGGTTTCCTACACTCTGCTCCCATCTTTGTAAGTTATGCCCTTATTACACCCTCAGACTGCCCCAACTGGATTATGTCCTGTTTCTGCTGGGACCTGGACTGATAGAACCACCTGCCCTGAATTGCCCAGGATTGCAGTCACAAGTCCCACCACTGGTCAAGCAGTCCTAGCTCCACATTTGGAGGCATGGGTAGACCAGGGTGTTCCCACAACCCCCTGCTACTTCCAGTCCCAGCCAAGTGTGAGGTCACTCTCTGTAGGCATTTGGTCTGCAGCCTACTGGCCAGCCTTCCAGAATTCTGAGTCCAAGGGGCTCAAGTCAGGACCTCATTACCCCAGATACTCCACCTTTATGACTTCACCCACTGAAGTCATCTGGGAGACAATGCTGAATGTTCCACCCCAGAGTCTGGGCCTCTAGGAGGCAGGGACAGCAGGCCAGGCCAGCCTAGAGGACTATCCGTCCACAGTGTAAATGAGGACACTGCTGGCCCATGTCTTGCAGGGATGTAGAGGGCAGCCTCAGAGACACTGGGTGCTCCTGGCACCATGGATGATGCTGCCATCCTCAAGCGACGAGGCTATATCATGGGGATAAATTTGGGAGAGGGCTCATACGCAAAAGTCAAATCCGCTTACTCTGAGCGCCTCAAGTTCAATGTGGCGGTCAAGATCATCGACCGCAAGAAAGCCCCCGCAGACTTCTTGGAGAAATTCCTTCCCCGGGAAATTGAGATTCTAACCATGCTAAACCACCGCTCCATCGTCAAGACCTATGAGATCTTTGAGACATCGGACGGCAAGGTCTATATTGTCATGGAGCTTGGGGTTCAGGGTGACCTCCTTGAATTCATCAAAACCCGGGGAGCCCTGCACGAAGATGATGCTCGCAAGAAGTTCCACCAGCTCTCCTCCGCCATCAAGTACTGCCATGACCTGGACATCGTCCACCGAGACCTCAAGTGTGAGAACCTTCTCCTTGACAAGGACTTCAACATCAAGCTGTCTGACTTTGGTTTCTCCAAGCGCTGCCTGCGGGATGATAGTGGCCGAATGGCACTGAGCAAGACCTTCTGTGGGTCGGCGGCATACGCGGCCCCCGAGGTCCTGCAGGGCATCCCCTACCAGCCCAAGGTCTATGACATCTGGAGCCTGGGCGTGATCCTCTACATCATGGTCTGTGGCTCCATGCCCTACGACGACTCCAATATCAAGAAGATGCTGCGCATCCAGAAGGAGCACCGCATTAACTTCCCGCGCTTCAAGAGCCTGACCAGTGAGTGCAAGGACCTCATCTACCGCATCCTGCAGCCCGACGTCAACCGGCGGCTGCACATCGACGAGATCCTCAGCCACTGCTGGGTGCAGCCCAAGGTCCGGGGCCTGTTCTCTGCAGCCATCATCGACGAGGGGGAGAGCTCAGGGGTCTGTGAGCCCTCAGGGGTCCATGAACCCCCGTGGGTCCCTGAGCCTGGCTCTGACAAGTCTGTCACCAACCTGGAGCCCCAGGAGGCACAGCCTGAAGTGAACCCAGAGTCACAAGCCAAGGAGGAGATTCTGCAAGAGGTGTTGAGGCCGTTGGATACCAGAAGCCCAGCCCCAACAGAGGGGCAACCGAGCAGGGACACTGTGGAAGGGGGCTCCCTGAAGCCTCCAGACACACACACCTAGTGAGCCTCTCACATGGCCCAGGGATGGGCAGGGAATGAGGCAGAGCTCATAGCTTCGAGCCTAAGCTCCAAAAAAAAAGCCAAGGGACAAGTCATTGAAGGAAGACAGTCCCGGACGAGCCATTATTTTCGTTTCTTTTCCCTCCCTTTGAACTTGGTAACCCACATGGTAAAAAAGCAATAAATAACTATATTAGTGCAGATTGTAAGGTGAATGTCTTTCCCCAGCTGACTGCGGTCGTCTAAGGAGAATATCCACCCCACTACACCCCAAGTTTGGAAGATATATCCTAGTGTGCCCAGCCATGACCATGACCTC